GTAATATTCTTCCCAGCCAACAAGAAGAGGTCTTGAAGATATCTGGGCAACCTTCTTCCAGGAAATTGTGACGCCTTTCATCACTTCTTTGAGCGGTTGCCAAGAGCACAATTTTTGCTCCAAATGTTTGCCGTCGGAATATTCTCAACGAGGTCTAAGCGATGTCCCACGAAGAAATTCACATACAATACCTTCAGGCAAGTTCTTTGAGAAATTCGCATACAGAACCTTGTTCCGAGAACTTTGAGAGATTTGCATCAATTGCTACTGGTGCGATATCCAAGTATTCGCAGAACCGAATTATTCGAGATATTCGCACACATAGCCTTGTGGCTAGTAATTCAGAAGATTTGCATCAATTACTACTGACGAGGTCTGTGACTGTTCGCAACTAGGAGTTATTTAAGATATTTCCACACATAGGCTTCCGGTGAGATTTTCGGAAGATTTGCGTCAATTCTCTCGCAACAATGAGTGAACCAAGGAACTCACGTAAAATGTACCTGTCAAGGTCTCTGAAAGTTTGCATCACGAACTGTTCAAGACATTCTCGTGAGTATCATTTTGCGAGTTCCTCAAGATATCCTTATTTCCATTTATGTTACCAAAGATTTTCGTGGTATCCATAGGCTACCAGCAGTCGGCTGTGGACATAGTGTAACTAGCGCCAGCTGTTTCGAATCCAGCTAAGAAGCTTTCACCATTGTGTTCCAGCCAGGCAACTCCGTCAGTTGAAGCTCACGGGCTCTAGTGCTTATGAAATGGAAGCAAAGAACATAGTAGATAGGTATCGAACAGATTATGCATCTTCAGAAACAATTCTGAAATAAAAATTTGTGACTGAAATGTTTCTGCCCTGTTCATAAAATCATTCTCCTCAAACTGTTTGATTCACGGTTCTTCACCCTGTATTTCATTGTTACATCATTATCATCTTGAAGATTGACTATGTTGAACAGGTTGATCAATTTCTCACCCAGGAAAGTGAGGAGAAGGTCTTTTAGAAATATTGAAGTCATACTAGTTCTTACCTATACCCTTATGAGTACATATGGTTGAGAGGAAATTACAAATCGTTCAGGTTCATCTGGCCGATAGGTACACTTTTTTCACGCGATATCTCAGTTTGTATATGCCAAAATATATTTTTCTCTTTCAACTTCTTACATATGATTATGGAAAGCATTATATACCAGGTTAGTCAATATTGTGTTTTCCTTCGATATTAGCCAAACCGTCAGATATACAGGGTGTTTCAGACTAAAATGTACATACGATACCTGTAGATAGAGGACACTTGGGAGGTTCCAAATCACCCCCCATCGATATGTCTACCGTCTTTGATAACTGAGATACAGGACGTTATCTTGATATTGGCATAATCTTCATCTGGTTATAACTTCTGAATCACTTCGTATAATCCCTCCATACTTGGTAGAAATATTTCACCTATATTACCCATCAAAGCAGCTCGTGAATTAATAGTGGAGAATGAAATGAGCCCTCAAAAATGTATGATACCATAGACAAGTGATTCTGTCACAACAAATCTATCGATAGTTCACCTAATTTGACTCTAATGATGTTGAACTTTGGAGACTGTAATTTTTTTGTATTAAAATTGAATTTTAAATTATAAGTTCGATGAAAATGCCTCGAAATGGAGCTGAATATTTCAAAACTTGATAATAAACCATGTGTCAAATTAGATGCGCACTCGTAAAAAGTAGGTCACTTATTTCATTTTTTCCCGCTCTTTCCAAATATCAAAACAGACCTACAAAATTTTGCCATACAAGGTGTTGTTTTTGAGATAAAAGAAGTTTTCTGTTTTTCCTCAAGACGGACCTGGATTCTGATTTGGATTGCATATGGTTTTGATGGGTAATATAAGTGGAATATTTCTACCAAGTATGTATAAATTATACAAAGTGGTTCAAAAGTTATAACCAGATGAAGATTTCGCCAAAATCAAGATAACGTCCTGTATCTCAGTTATAAAAGACGGTAGACATATCGATATGGGGTGATTTGGAACCACCGAAGTGTCCTCTATCTACAGGTATCGTATGTACATTCAAATCTGAAACACCCTGTATAGAAAAAATAGAATACAACAGTTGATATGGTTTCATGAGAACTATCACCTGAAATTGTTCAATTATATTTACATAGGGTGTCCGAATTCCAAGATATCGGCCAATGATTATTTTTTTGAATGTAATTTTCTAAGTAGTTTTCTTCCTGAGTAGCCGATCCCATCAATTGTCGAAACTATTATTATCGAACAGAACGGCTCTCATGTTCCTATGTTGACTTCTGATTCACTATCTGCCGACACCAAGTTGTAAAAAGATACAAGGTGGTTCAAGATTCAGAATTCTGTGTCTGTGAAGATGATGGGGGCCTTTTTTGAGATTTTAGAATCATGTCGTGTGTTGATATTTCGCTATTGCTTGTTATAAACGTTCGGGATATGTTTAGGAACTCGCACCCAAGGATTTCTCGTTTGTGATACCCTCGGGATGACTTGAAGAACTCACAATGAGAATTTCTGATTCAGATCACGTTTGAGTCATTTGTACGAACTCTCAGTGATAATATCTCGTTTACGTTACATACGTGATAGCTTAAGGAACTAGCAGTGAGAATTTCTGATTCAGATTAATTTCGTTATGACTTTGTGAATTCATTGTGGATATGAAATCGATAACTGAAAGGTGACGTTTGAAAGATTTTTACATGGGACTTCGAGAAGAAATTCGCTTAGTTACAGCACATAGCGATCTTCACTACCGCACGATAAAGTTCGCATATGATCCTGATGTTGATCTCTCTGAGATCTCGCGGAGATGTTTGTGTTACCTGTGTTTTTAATGCGGGCAAAGCAAATAATGTGAAGAAATACTCATGAACATTCGAATTTCCAAAATTGTTTGATTAGCACCACATGCGCCACATGATCATCACACTTGACGGCTTTCGCGGTGGTTGGAAGCTGAACTCAAATGATGGCTCACGCGCATAATTGTTTTCCAATTATAACCAAAGGAATAATTATAATAATTACCAAACGAAGAGTAATATGGAATATCGCTAGTCATATCGTTTATATTACGTGGATTTATCACGAATGTATCATGATAAAGAAACACATATTGTGTTTGTATTTGAATCTCTGATGAAATAATCAATGAATGATTCTATATGCGCAGCGAAGTCAAGATGAACCCCTCCTTGTTCTTTCTGGTTCATCTTTTTCTCAATTCGCCTATATTTCACCATCAATATAGTTTTTTAGTCAATTATGGAATACATGATTTTGCAGTCTTATACTGCAAAAATCAGAGCTACACATGAACACTGGAAAGGTGATTTCGATCATCCATTCAAAGATGAATCGATATTTTTCCATTAGAATCAGAATTATTCCAAATTGTCGAGGATAAATGTCTTGATATCTATTCCAATATACAAGGTGAGTCAGGTGTTGTGGTACAAATTGAAATAGGTGATAAATCTCATAATTTCAATCAAGAAAAATTATATAATCAAGATTTCGATCTCGATGAGATGCTGGAGCTAGAGGAAGTCGAAGTTCACTTTTTTTTTCTTTCAATTAAAATATCTGGCTCACTCATGAAGATAACAATTCATAATTTGTTTGGTCAATACTTCCTTGATGATCATCGTTTGAAGCATTTCAGAGATTTTCAATATATCTACAGGGTTAAACGTTTTCGGGGATAGAAGCTTCTTTATACCCCTCAAACTCTTTCGTATTACGCCATCTTATAAATACCAAATTGAGTAAGTAGTTTGTTCAATTCAGAGGCTTTTGTTCCACAAATCTTACCGAGAAACAATCCATTCTCTAGATAAATAAGCATATCCTTTCTGAAACATGTTAATTTCGCCTATGTTTTGCTCAAGTTTCATCCATGTACAAAATTCTTCGAATTTCACCACAATCGCAATGTTGTTAACATTAGTCCAATTTGCCTGGACACAATCATTGCGATCTCAGTGAATTTTATTGCATTTTCCAGGTATTTTGTCCAAGAACTAAATTTAAGCGACACATATCGAGGACAAAATTAACTCATTTCAAAACTGATATCTAGAAAACCGTTCGTTTCTTGCATAAACTTCAGGTGCAAAAAGCCTATGAATTGAATTATCCACCAAATTTGGTGACTGAAAGATGCCAGAGGCGTACTACGAAAATATTTGGGTGGGATAAAGAAGCCTCTACCCCCGAAAACGTATGTTGTGACTGTTGTGACTGTGAATATTAAAAATCTTCAAAATGATGAAAATTATAGTCTTCTAGTAGGTATTGACCACATCAAATTCCAGATTGATGTCACTGTAAGTAAGCGAGATATTTTAATCGAAACAAAAAAAATTGATGATTGACCCCCTGTAGCTCTGCTTCTGATCGAGATCGGAGAAACTTTTCAGATCAGAATAATGAGATTTATCACCTCACCTCAAAACATGAACCAACCTGTATATCATTAAAGTGAGAATTTTGAAATTTCATGGAATGGACTGAAAAAACATGACGGTGCAATTTCTATAATCAATAGTCAGGGTAGTTTTTAGTAGGTTCTTTGACATAAGGGTGATTTGGGCTCTTGTCTCGGAGAGCTTTTGCTTCAATATATTCAACGATTTTCTGAATTGCATGCAAGATAACTCAGATATCTGCAAGCTCCGAGACGCCTGGTAGATGAAGTATATCCTCAATATTTCTGAGAGATCTTTCTGCCAATACACTAGAAATGGAAAAAAAAATCATCACGAGCCCTTGGGCACCTCAGCAACCTTCAGATGTCCTGACAGATCAAGGAATTGGAAACAATATACGTGAGTGAGATGCACCATCAAGGCATACCAGAATGACAAAAATGGTAAGGTAAGTTGGGGCAAGTGCGTTTCTAGGGTGAGTGCTTCATTCTGTGATTGTGGTTGCACTTGTCTCAATAAAAGTTATGTCATAATTGTGTGGATTCGGCTTGAGTTTGTAGCTCGCAGTGTATTGAAGATAAATTATCCCTATCTAGAGATAAATCATCTTTATCTCTGAAGCAGTTGGAGATATTCACTCAGGGTTGTTCATTGTTGCCCCACTCAATTTCTAGTACGAACTGATTCCGTTTCAACAAATGAAGACGCACTTGCCGGGGCAGTTTCACGTTCAACGTTGAAAACCTCAACTTCTCATGTTCATCACATAACATTTTATGCTCAATATATTTCGATTAGCAGTTATGAGATATCTTTGGTAGAAGTCCATATTGCTCAAAATTTTCAACGGAAGGAAGGAATGCTTGAAGTCATCTCTACAAATTTCAATGGCGTTGTTACACAATCATAAGAGACATACCATAAGGCCAGCGTAGCCTCGTGGTTAAAGCGTCAATGTTCTATACACTTTGGATTACCGGTAGGGGGTTCGATTCCCACCACGACCGCAGACAATTTTCTGATGGCCTGAGAAAGTATTTGGGATCACACGAAGGTAAGACCCCCGTCATTCCTTGCTCGCACAAGTCTCTTGAGGACTTCTGAGGGCAACCGAATGATGGATAAGAACAAATTCAGAACAACAACAATACACTACACACTGTTTTACCACTAACCAATCAGATTTTTCACACCTCGACACGTGTTTCGCTAACTAGGTTAGCATCTTCAGGAGAAGATTTTAACTCAATCTTCTATCCTGGTTGGCTAGTTATGTACAGGGTGGGCAAAATTGGGCGTTCTCACCGTCTATCTCATTAACTAGAGGAGTTATCAAAAAACCGATATTCATGTTCTGGGTTCGATTTTGGAGAAACCTCGAATGGCACAATCAAAATTTTGATATCTTCATTCGTTTTATGGATACAGAGGGAAATTGAAAATTTGCCGAATTCAATTTAATTTTCTGACTACTTTACGGTGAGAGGTATCAGAAAATTTCGAACGTATATTTATACAGTATGATGCGTGGAATCTACTGGCATCATCAGAAATTTTATACAGGGTGACGTTGAAAAGATACGGCAGCCAATTATGTTTTTTCTAATGTAACACCCCGTATATTTTGGCACAGTTGAATAGTCCCAGGCGTTTTCATTACAAATATATATCTAATCCTACCTTTTCCTTCCACAATTTCAGATATATTCGCAAAAATACATTCAGTGTGTCACATTTCTAATGGTTACACCCCCGTATCTTCTGTAAAAATAATTAAGGTAGGATTCAAAAATTCGCCAGCAGCTATAGAATCATCGATATTTATGGATAATGCTATCAACAGGCAGAATCGAGGTTGAAAATGACACGCTGTATATATTCACCAAAGGTGGAAAATGAATATCATAGGGGATGTTATTTCCAGAAAAATGGATATTTGTATCTGTGAAACGAATGAAGATATCAAAATTTTGATTGTGCCATTCGAGGTTTCTCCAAAATCGAACCCGGTACATGTGTATCGGTTTTTCGTTAACTCCTCTAAGTAGTTAAAACTAAGAGAGCATGACTACCAGCATAGGGAAATACATGCTTTAATCTTAACTGGAACGCGGCCTGTGTTCTAGCGGGGAAGCGGGGTAGCGGGAGCGCGATGGTGTGACATCATCAGTGACAGGGTGTTTGAGTTGAATAAAAATTGAAAATTATATATACAGGGTGTCCCACGGTTAGACCACCCCACTTTAGGGGTAAATATTGAAGGATTGGGGAGTGTGGGTACTCTGAGAGAAGGATTTTTCGCGAACATTCCAAAAATGTCAACTTGCCTATATGCAAAGTCCCAAGGTTTACAAGATATCGCTCTAAATGCGTTGGAAATATCATATGAAATAGTCTCTTTGGATATGACATAGTAGAGCTAGTTTCGATTTTTTTCCCAGCGTCAAAAGAAAATATGAATGAGTATTGAAGTTGAATTGAAACAAATAACAGGAAATTACTGATAAGAAGATATTATAATAGAAAAACAAGTTTATCATTTGAAAGAAAAAACAAATTTTACAAGAAATGGGAAAAAACAATCTCTTATCAGAAGACAACATATTATGTGAGAAACATTATGTTTTCATTCTACCACCTTGATATATAACAGCGGAGCGCTCTGACAAAATTCAGTCAACGTTCGACATCCACATAAATCAACACCTAGCCACATCTAATAGCAATCTTGTGTAGTGCCAACTGCTGATACCTAATAAAAGTAAGTTTTTTTTTTTTCTTTATATTCACCTGGTAATGCAATTTCTTTAAGTAATTTTTTTGTTTTTATTTCTAAGAGCGAATAATATTGCATGATATGTTTTCTTTAATAATTATTTCATTGTTGGTGTACATATCATAATTCATTTCGATGTTTTTCATATTGAAAAGTGAATGTCATTGTGTGTTTTCATCGATTCATTTCTTCGTGTACACATCATAATTCACTCATTCTATTTCAAACATTTGAAATGAAGAGATTTTCACTGATGTTGTTTGATTTCTGATTTTTAGGTATCACATTACAGTTAGACAGCCACATAAAATCAACACCTAGTCACATCTGATAGCAATCTTGTGTAGTGCCAAAACTACCGATATCTGAGAAAGTGAGTTTTTTTTTTCTTAATATTCACTAAAGCATGATCCTGATGTTTGATGCAATTTCCGTAATTCACTTTTTTTTGTTTTTATTTCTAAAAGCGAATACTATTGCTTGATATCTTCATTTTTTTTTTTTTGTGTGTACATTTCATAATTCATTTCAATGTTTTTCATATTGAAAAGTGAATGACATTTCGCGTTTTCATCGATTCATTTTTTCGTGTACACATCATAATTCAACCATTTAAAATGAAAAGATCAGTTCCACAATCTTTTCTTTTTAGATGGATCTGAATGCAATCAATAATGTTGGGCTGTCATGCAACAGGAAAGTGTTGAGGAAACTGAGCCAACTGCCCCTAGATGTGCCACACCCCATTGTCGGAGTGCAAATTAAACTGGGAAAATACGGAGAAGCACCACTCGTTGAGTTGGACGATTGTAAGGTGTTTCTACCAGGCAGAGCGACCCAAGCCATCAAACCTGCGGTGGAGCAGTTTATCCAAAACAAGTATGCCCTCATCTACAAGGGACGAAAAAACTGCGGCCAACTCCATCCCATCGAGCAGTTTGAGATTGTCGAAACAACACCTCAATCACCAACATCATAAGCTATTGAGAATCAGAGTGTGAGTCATTTTACTTTGTCACTTTTCGCAAGATACATTTGTAAAGATGAATATCGCTAAACAATCAGATAACTTAGTGATAGCCATTAGGAAACTAAAGAAAATTTTGTTTGATAATTTCACTGATAGGGATGAAAAAATTTGGTTAAATCGCTTAAAGAGGTACATAAGATTATGTAACAATGAAATTAATAAGAATAAGATGTCCATAGGCTTGATGAGAAAGTTTCAAACGAATGTTGGTCATTTTAAGCATTTTCGCAATTTAATTCGAAATAGACATCGAGACAGTAGAGGGCTTGAGTTGAAAAATAGGGTTCAATGGAGAGATGTGGCATCAGGTTTTTCAAGTAGAATCAGAACGGGAATAATCATCAATATAACACATAAGGACTTGGAGCAATTTTTTATAGATGCATTCATTTTATTCAAAAATAAAATCAAAAATATATTGAAGGGATTTCCAATTATTAAAGTGAACGCTAATTTCTGTGGAGAATTCATAAAGAAATCAGATGATGCAGAAATTATCGAATTGAAATATTTCAACACTAAAAATGCCATTGTGGACGTAGGAACGGATTTACAACATTGGTACTATGATAATGTTCAGGATAAAATTTTGAATAAATTAAGTGAATTTCAAGAACGTGACTCTGGGTGGGCTTTGCATAAAATAATATCAATGGAAGTTAATATTAACAAACTTGAAATGGGAAATGGTTCATCCTTTATTAGACTGCCAGAACAAATTTCTAAAAAGCGAGCATGTTTGAATATAAAAAATACTGACTCGGCATGTTTCTATTGGTCAATCATAAGTGCCTTCTACCCAGCGAAAACACATAGGGAACGGACTTCTTCATATCCATATTACACTACAGTTCTGAAAACAGTAGATTTAGATGCACCCATGTCTCTACGTCAAATTCCAAAATTTGAAAAAGACAATAACATTTCCGTGAATGTATACACATTAGAGTTGAATTTAGTCAAGGAAAAATCATATTATACTGTGGTGCCAGCCAGACTTACAAAAAATAAATTAGAAAGGCACGTTAATCTATTGCTAATTCAAAACAAATATTATCCAAAATTAAATGATTATGAGGCTCCTCCGATTGATGAAGAAGATTCTGACATCAAATACCATTACTGTTTGATTCAAGATATGTCTAGATTAATATCAAGCCAAGTGAATAAACATAATGGTAAAAAATTTATTTGTGAAAGATGCATGAATTATTTTCAATGTGAACAAAAATTGATTGATCATCAAATGCTGTGTTCTGAATTGAACCAATGCAAAGTTTCATTTCCAAAATATGATCACATAGAATTCAAAAATTTCACCTACCAACAAACCACCCCCTTTATAATTTATGCAGACTTTGAATGTCAATTAGAACATGTGGATGATATGGTTTCATCAAAAACAAGCAAATATCAGAAACATGTGGCTCATAGTGCAGGCTATTATTTTAAATGTGATTTCGATGATTCCTTGTCGTTTTTCAATAGCCATAGGGGTGAAGATTGTATGGATTGGTTTGCAAATGAAATGTCGAAGATAGCTGAAATCGTGCAATCTAAAATCAAAACAATCGTGCCAATGACTGTTAGTCCTGACAAATGCAAAGCAAAAATCTGTCATATTTGTGAGAAACCATTCAGGGAGAAAGACATTATCGTAGCCGATCATAATCACTTTTCAGGCGATTTCAGGGGGTGGGCGCATCAAGCACCCTGTAACATAAATTTCAAGAAACTCTTTGTTGTTCCAATTGCATTTCACAACCTGATAGGATATGATTCACATTTCATGATCAGTCAATTGAGTAAAAAGGGTCGTATGAGCATACTTCCAATAAACATGTAAAAGTACATATCTTTCACTTTACATGATGACAATACAGGCATCAAATTCCGATTTATTGACTCTTTTCGCTTCATGGGTACATCCTTAGATAAATTATCTTCAATCATGGATAGAAATGATTTTGAAATTTTGAAAAAAGAATTCAGTCATTTGAATGACGATACATTCAACCTCCTCACCAAGAAGGGTGTCTTTCCCTACGATTACATTAGTTGTTTGGAAAAATTGAATGATACTGAATTACCTACAAAGAAATATTTTTATAATAAATTGAATGATGAACACATTAGCGATGAGCAGTACGCCCATGCTCAAAAGGTATGGTCATCATTCAAAATTCAAAATTTAGGGGAATATTCTGACTTATATTTAAAAACAGACGTTATGTTGTTGACCGCTGTTTTCGAGAAATTCCGGCAGAAATGTAGGACAACTTATGGGTTAGATCCAGCATGGTACTATACCATGCCTGGATATACATGGGATGCCATGTTAAAGTACACCAAATGCAAACTGGAATTATTGAATGACGTTGATAAAATCATGTTCATCGAGAAGGCATTACGTGGTGGTATTTCTGTTTGTAGTGGTAGGTATTCAGAAGCTAATAACAAGTATATGTCTGAATATGATTCCAATAAACCTTCAAAATATCTCATGTATTTAGATGTAAATAATTTGTACGGTTGGGCAATGTCAGAGTCTTTACCATTCGGAGATTTCTCATGGATGGAAAACGTTGAAAATTTCAACGTAATGAATATTGCTGATGATGCTCTTGAAGGATATATTTTACAAGTAGACTTAGAATATCCTCGCGACTTGCATAACAATCACAAAGACTTTCCATTTGCTGCTGAACATCGCATACCACCCGGCTCAAAATTACCAAAATTAATGACAACACTTTACGACAAAAAAGATTATATTTTACACTATAGAAATTTAAAACAATGTTTAGCAAACGGACTGAAACTGACGAAAATCCACAAAATTTTGAAATTCAGGCAATCTTTTTGGCTCAAATCATATATAGATCTGAATACTTCTTTGAGGACTGCCGCAACAAATGAATTTGAGAAAAATCTCTATAAACTAATGAATAATGCAGTTTTCGGTAAGACGATGGAAAACATACGAAAGCATAGATTAGTGAAACTAGTAAGATCATGGCAGGGACGTTATGGAGCCAGAAATCTCATAGCTAGTCCACGATTCCGTGGTAGAACAATTTTTGAAGAAAACTTGATTGCCATAGAGATGCAGAAAACCGAAATAATTTTTAATAAACCTCTATACGTAGGAATGGCCATTTTAGATTTATCAAAATTGTGCATGTACAAATTTCACTATGAGTATATGATTCCGAAAATGGGTATTGAAAGGTGTAAATTGTTATATATGGATACAGACAGCTTCATATATGAATTGAAATGTGATGATGCATATGAAGAAGTTATAAAGGCTGATCTCTCTCAATTTGACACATCTGAATATGCTCCAGATAATAAATATAATATGCCACTAGTCAATAAAAAAAAGTTGGGTTTATTAAAAGATGAAGCAAATGGGAAAATCGTTACTAATTTCGTAGGACTACGTTCGAAAATGTATGCATATAAAGTACAAGGGGGTAAGGTTGTCAAAAAATCGAAAGGGGTGAAAACTAATGTTGTCAAGAATAAAATTGGGTTCGAAGATTATTTGAATTGTTTGAAGAATTTCGGAGCACAAACAGTGTCTCAACGTACTATCCGTTCATATGCCCACAATGTGTTTAGCATTCAACAATCAAAAATTGCTCTGAGTCCCAAAGATGATAAACGGTATTTGATTCCAGGTTCGTTTGACACATTGCCATGGGGTCATACACAGGCAAAAGAGTAATTTTTTCATGTAAATCAACTCATCAAACATTTATAAAGAAAAAAAAAAACCATACACCTACACTTACACTCCTCTGTTTTAGATTTAGAATTATTATTTGGGCTTAAAGAACGATATGAATGTGATATGGATTTACATGATTCACATTATCAGAGATATGAGAGATTCATCGATTCTGGTGATGAACATACAGATATTGATTCTTGACTTACTTTAACAATATTTTACAGATTTTAGTAGCATGATATCATCTTTACAAATGTAGTTTGCGAAAGAAGACAATGAAAAATGACTTTTTTTTTTTTCAGAATATGTTTTTTCTTATGAAAATGTAATACTTGCCCTGGCTATTAATGAAAATATAATATATGCTGTCTATCTATCATTAATAAAATAATTATTGAAATTTTCTGTGTATCATTGGGATGGGTAGTGAGGGTAAGAGAGAGTGAGAGGGTAAAAAAGTGAGAAGAAGAGAGAGAGAGAGAGAGAGAGAGAGAGAGAGAAAGAGAGAGAGAGAGATTGGATGGATATTAGTTGAAGGTATGGATGTAAAAAACAGTTGTATCATGTCTTCTGACGAATACAGACGTGCACTAGAAGAATTTGGGTTGAAAGTTAGAAAGCTCAGTGCAGACATCCAATTGTATGAGCAGAAAGTTTGTTTGTTCAAAGATTTCGAGCAATTGAGTGTTTGGGACAAGGTGTTCACAGAACCAAGACGTTCAGTTGCACCTACATCGAGAAGAATCCAACCAACACAGCTACTAGATGGCGATACTGAAAGCAAGCTTCATTCTATTGACAGCTCTGAGCAACAACGTCTTCTACACAAACATACCGTACAATACGAGGAATGCGGCCGTATGTTTTGATGTGAATCGTACACAACAGTGTGATTGGAAGCTGATGAGTAGAATGTATGTCAACGATAACAAACTACCTGTATATTCAATCGACATGCCTCGAGTCAATGGGACCACCATCGACTACAAATTGAAATTATCGTTTTCTGATGGCAGTGACGGCGAAATGGGAGACTGGCAGACATTTACATTGAAGAAATCACCCGCAAAATTAGATGATGATCAAGATTCTGTCAATATCATTGCAATTTTGACACTTTGTTGTACACTAATATGTTCACTCATTTTAATCTCGCATGTTATTTTCATTATACTGAGAAATAAGGGATGTGATGAATAAAAACTCTGAAATTACGATATATAGTTTTTTATTTTGGCAATAAATTACATAACCAATTATATAAAGTATCGACATTGTGGAGACTGCACTGGAACCTTCCTCCATGGAAATGATTCATGCAGGGTGGAATGGATTGTAGGAACGTTATTGGTTGCCACCAAGAATTGTCAAAATCTTCCAAATTAACAATGTGATTGGTCATCTCCAACTCTGCACATTTTCGCTGCAAAAACTGAATCTTTTGATGACCTCTTACGTAGATGATGTTTGTCTGCTGCAGGTTATCTCGTAGTATTTGATCCAACTCATTCAAATCCACATAACCACTGGAATATTTTAAACCATGAACGTAACGCTCCACATGATTTGCCATCTTTTTATCTTCTCTGCTTAAACTGGAAAATTCTACAGATGGCTTGAATAGAAAATGACTCGTCTTTTTGCCTATGCGAATGGTCATTTCCTTTGGAATGAATTCACCATCAACCGTGAACCCTTGAATGTCAACCAGTGCGATCTCCATGACTCTTCGAAGCAAACTGACGTCTGACTGATGTCACAACACCCACCTAGGCAATATTTCGAACAATTTCGCTGAGTGGGAGATGTTCCATGATTTGATCATGAATGATGATGCAATAGGCTTTGGTGTCGGGAGGGAAGCCTGTAGTCGCTTCAATGTCCAACTTTATGTCAACTGTGGACGACTTTAGACCCAGATGGCGCCTCGAGCAATCGATAACAAACATTGGTCGGGATTTGAATTCGGCAAAGTTTACTAGAGAGCGCTTTTCTTGACAGTTATGGTAGCTCTTGTTGAACTCTGTATAGTTGAAGTGGGCGTCGGCATATTGGTCTCGGGAAAAGTCCAATAGCATTCGTTCTTGCGGATAATAGTCGCTATTCAGAGCCAATCGTATGGATTTGATGTTGGCATTATCGAACAAGGTGACGTCTTCATGCAAATTATCGGCTTTTTTCGTTTGGAAAAATACTATAACATATCTTGGACTGTCCAATGCAGAACATGTCTTGACGGACCAGATTTCTATGGTAGATCCTTGTGTGAGTGCTGGTAGCTCGTGCAATTCCCATCGGCGAAACGGTATCATCATAGACTCATCTGCTTTGATACGTGTCAACAACTGCAACTTTATGTCATCGTTGGGTGTGAGATGTGGCACTTTCAAATTGATGCTTTCTATCGTTATTTTAGCAATACTCTGAGTCTGAGGAGATCCTTGCAAAGCAGTATTCGCTCTCTCGACAACCTTCACACTATTGGCATCATTGCGAGCTCTCACTAAACGGATTGACTGCTTGCCCCACGTTGCCACTTGATGATCATTGAAGATGGAAAACAAATGTTTCAGTGGAATGTTCATGCTAAACGTACCATCGGTGTTGATGATCGGAGCATTGGGATAGTTCCAGCCTGCTATGGCTAGATGACGTGAGTCTTCAGGTGTATAACACAAGTATCCTCGCACAGTACTCGTTATTCCAGGATATCTGACAGTGTCCAATTCTTTATTACATAATTCATAGGTGCAGGAATCAAAGAGATAAGCTCCAGCATTGTGGGTTAATGTACCAGTACCACCACCGGTCACCTTCAATTTACCCTTGATGGTAATGATGCCTTCAAACATGGCCAACCACGAATCTGCTTGATTAACCGTTATATCGATGACATCATTGTTCTCGAATGATTTCACATATGGATAATAGGTACGCCATTCCACTTTAGTGATGCTTTCGTCGAGTCTGGGTTTGCGGAAAACGTCGAACACGGGTGCTAACAACATTGTAGTCTTTGAAAGATTTCAGAAACAGGACACTGGATAATGTCAATGTTTTTCTGTTGCTGCTGCTCTTCGAAGACACGACTGCTTTGGTGTACGGTGTCGAGAGAACTGGTGCCGATGATGTTGCTGATGATGGTATATTATCTGATTTATAGGAGTAATCAAACACTAGTACCATCTTGCGAGTTTCTTCAATTCCAATCTTATGATGATTTCTTCACCTCTAAAATTCACCTGCCTGAAATCTTGGTCTAGAATCTGGAGTGTAATGTTGGGCAATTCCCGCCTGCTGACTATAGGTAGATAGATTAGATTTCTGGGAGTCTCGTCTATGGCGTAACCAGGATCGACTGCAACTGCAAACTCGTAGATCGTATGTGATGGTCTGTCGTTGTAGAGAGCTCCAGCAGTAACGTTGCTATCAATGTGAATGGTTCTCACTTTGGTTATGCTGACCGGCAAATCGGAAGTGTGGACTTGTTTAGCATTCAACAATCTATTTGAAAATCCCAAGACTTGAGCTATGCTATCCTTTGGACGAAAATCGATGGCAAACCTTTGGCTCGAAATCTCACACTTTAGTGTATTATTGTTGGGCTTCAATGAGAATATATCATCAACGTCCTTTGCACTTGAGATGCCCAATTCTTTGCGTATGAATGTCTCAATGTCCGCAATGTCGTATGAACCTTCGGGAATATCGATGATCTTTCCCGCCTTGGTCTTATCTTGCAGATAAAACTTTGATCCTTTGTCGATATTTGGTATACTGTTGTATGAATGGAATCCCAATAATGCTAGTCCGTAATCAGAGTCTGGATCGAGTTGAAGTGGTGTCAAAAAGTCTATGGAGAGCGTAGATGTACGACCTTTCAACGTCACAATCAGAGACATGACTGATGCACAATGACCGAGTTACTTGGTCTCATTAAAAAGGAATTCTAAACATAGACGTCCACAATTACTTTGATTGAAATTCTGGTATTGATTGTTATTGTACAAGATTTTCGTGCTGGCACCCAAATATTGCGCCAATTCTCTGGGCGGTTTCAGATTGCCATAACTATCGAAATATAAGGCTTTTTTATCATTTTTTATGTAAGCCACCCAATGAGTGCCCGCATGATTGGCGGTATCCAAATTCAATACAGCACACTCGCGATGCCATGGACCGGTGGAAGGTAGAGTGTCCCGCATAAAAACACCTCGAAAATTCGGTATTTTCAGCTGTTTGGCATACTTTATCACATCTTTATCGTACATTGATTTATTGGGTAGCTTGTCTAGAAGTTTTTTGAGTTTTTTGATTGTTTCTTCAAGTACAGTCCGAATCCTCTCGATGTTTTGCGTAGAAATAGGCCGGAACCCTGCTTGCCGATAGCCTCCATTGCTTTATTATGTCTTTGATCTTCTTCGAGCTTTTTCTTTGCATTTTTCGCATCAATGACTGTCTTTGCGACTGCTCCGGCTCCTCCAGCTAGAGATCCTAGGGCTCCCAAGGCGGCAAAGATTGGTATCAATGGTAGTATACCGCCACTGTGTGGAAGAGGTATGATTCTTGGTACTCTGATTCTTTTTTTACCGCCAGCCCTCTTGATTGCCATTCTGGCTGCACGGAGTGCTTTCAATGCCGATTTATTCAGACCACTTCCTGATGTTGTACTACCACCACCACCACCATCTGACTTTGATAGTACATTTTTTATGAATTTGATAATGTTGGATAGGGATTGCTGTGATACAAGACCCATGCCAAGTTTTCGTTTGACCTTCATTCCGGTGGTGACAAGCCAAGCAGCAGCCTTCTCTTTGAATTTAGCGTTCTTCGACTTGACTCTCTCCCACGCTCTATTTTCCAATATCCAATCAGCTTTGTGCCTGTCTTCTATTGAGGAATTTTGTGAATAGGCGATATCGTGTTCTCGACACGCGTCGTCCAACGGATTGATACCGGTGTCTCCTCTTGCAAGTCTTTTATCGAGTTTGGTACCTGGACCACAAAATCTGTAGCCTGGAATGTGTAATTCGATGGGAAGTTTATCGATCAGAGAATTAAGCACACCCTCTCCGTGGTAGAGCAACATGAAGACTGACGTGTAGGAAGTTCGACAACTCTGCATATACCTAATGAAATGAAAAATATATCATCACATGATGAAGATCATTCAACAAGAACGGATGTTACCCATTGTGAATTTGGATGAAATTTTGTCAACCAAACCACCAGTAAATAGTAAACATGGGAAACTGCTTCCCCATTCGTTCAGAGCAATCTTCTGCGGACCAAGCGGATGTGGAAAGACCAATGCGATGCTTTCCCTGCTGTTCAATCCAAATGGCGCGAAATTCGAGAACGTTTACGTGTATTCAAAGTCGTTGTACCAACCGAAATATCAATTGCTGCAACAAGTGTTGGATTCAGTGAAAGGTGTTGGGTATTTTCCCTTTAAAGAAAATGATGATGTCATTAGTCCATCAGAAGCGAAAAATAATTCGATATTCATTTTTGATGATGTATCATGCGACAAGCAGCAAAAAATTCGAGAATATTTTTCAATGTGTAGACACAAGGATATTGACGTAGCATACCTATGCCAGACTTTTTCTAAGATACCGAAGCAGCTGGTGCGAGACAACAGTAACCTGTTGGTGTTATTTCGACAGGATGAAATGAATTTGAAGCATGTGTTCGACGAGCATGTCTCACCAGACATGTCATTCGATAAATTTAAAGCATTGTGCTCAGAGTGTTGGAATTCCAACCAATATGGTGCGATGGTGATTGCAAAAACTTTCGATATGAATGCTGGCAGATATAGAAATGGTTTCGATAAGTTCATAAGACTGTGATCTCTGGACCATTCATCAAGATGACGTCAACCAAGATGCATGATGATGTTGCTGATGCGCTGCGCAAGAAAAAAATCAACGAACTATCGAAATCAATCAGAAGAAAATATTTAGCACTAAAATTGGGCAAGTCTGAGGATGATGATGCGTTACAGAAAATATTCCAACCACTGACATCACCTTTGAAACAAATTGCCACCACGTCCAAGGTAATAAAAGAAAAACTCGATGGAACGCTTTCAAACATCAAGCGAAGCAGAGCAAAATCGTTGGGGTTGAAGAAGGAGAAGAAGGAGGAAGAGGATGGGGAGGTTGAGAGGGAGCAATCGGATTTGAACCAAACTAATTTCATACCTATGATGGATGTGGCTGATAATGCTGGGCATACTGAAGATGATGATGAGGATGGTTATGACGATGCTGATGATGAACTTTTTGTAGATAGTGAAAATATCTCACCGGCTGCAATACATGATTACGTTGATCAGTATCCTGCGATGGCTCAAAAATATCTGACTGAATACTGGACAAATGATGAAAATATCGATACGGTTTATGGTCCCAAATATGATCCAGTAACATCGAAATGGTCTCTCAACGGAAAAGAAATGAATTTCCATCGAAGAACTGGAGATATACTTCTTGATGGCTTTCGGTTCCGTGGCACCCCAGGCCTCTATCAATTACTCTTCTATAATGATCCATCCTTTGCCAAAGATGATACGAACCCATACAAGCAAATACTCTTGCTCACCAAAGCTCATCTGAATTCTGCAGGACGTATGAAGTCCTCCTCTAGACTCAAATACGTAGAAATTATTCGTCCAATGTTCAGATCCAATTCCAGTGGTCGTGGTTTGAAGTTGACATACAACACAGCACCTATCGAATACATGTATTGGGATGATCCAAATGAATTGGTAGATAGATTGAAGTTGCTCATTGCATCACAGCAAGCTGGAAATACATCAAACGATAACGAGATTGTTGCCATCTTGAACGAATTAGAAGAGGCAGGCATAATAAAACATGTGTAATATTTCTGTGATACTTCCGTGACACTTCCATGACAACTTCCATGACAGTTCCGTGACACTTCCTTGACACTTCAGTGACAGTTCCGTGACAGTTCCGTGACACTTCCTTGACACTTCCGTGACAGTTCCGTGACACTTCCTTGACAGTTCCGTGACACGTCCATGGCATGTCTATGAGTGAAGGGGCTAATAATTGGCGAGGCAAAGTGCCGGCCATTATCGATAACGCACAATACTTTAGTCATTAGCATAATGAGTCTCGACAAATTCGGACGTGGTTCGTTTCCACGCTCAGCTCAGATGGTGACAGTCAGATCTGGATTTTCACATACTCCAACCGGTGATATTGATGTTGGTCATTTGAAGATGTGTAACGTAAAACTGCCAACAGATGTCGCTGATGTTGCAAACAAACAATATGTGGATGAAGTTATATCGCAAATAAAGTTAGATTTCAAGATTGCTTTCGATAATTATGGTGAAAAAATCCGAAATTACCTTGCTGGCTTCAGCAACGAAATTATCGATGTACGAAAGAGAGTGGATTCTCATGATCTCAAACTGGCAACGTACAAT